TGTATGGAAACCAATTTGACAATAAACTTCGTATATTGAAAAAACAAAACAAAACAAAAAACTGTCAGCACAGAGCCCGACGTGGGACTCAAACCCACGGACCATGAGATCATGACCTGAGCCGAAGTCGGATGCTTAACCGACTGAGCCACCCAAGTGCCCCTAAGATTTTTATTTTTAAATATTCTCTGCACCAGACATGGGTCTCTAACTTATAACCCTAAGATCGAGTCACATGCTGTGCCCACTGAGTTGGCCAGGTGCCCCTTTTGCAGCTGTGATGGGACTGAGATAGTCACAGTTGGTGGGATGTTGGGAATTTCTCTGATGCTTTTTTTTTTTTTAAGTTTATTTGTTTATTTTTGAGAGAGAGAGAGAAAGCAGCGGAGGGGCAAAGAGAGAGGGAGACAGAATCCCAAGCAGGGTCTGTGCTGTCAGCACAGAGTCCGTTGTGGGGCTTGAACTCTTGGAACTGTGGGATCATGACCTGAGACGAAATCAAGAGTTGGACGCTTAGCCAACTAAACCCCCCAGGTGCCCCTGCTCTGATGCTTTTTAAGCCAGCTTAGTTTCTGAATGATTGGAGATAACTGATAATATGATGAAATGTATTTTCTGGTTACCCAGATGGTTCCTTTTGGATTGTACTGAAACAGCTTTTCTAAATTTCTTCCTTTCAGCTTGAAGGTTTGTTTATACTGTTCACCTGTTACTAAAGAGTTGTTGTTAACTAACCCGAGGTACAGATTTTGGGAGAAACGAATTGTAAGTTTCATTTTTCAAATGGCACTAATTCCTTTCCTCAAGTAGGAAATATTTTTCAAGGTAGATTGAACAACATGTTGGGATTATTCACAGCGCAGTTCCTCCTACACTACATTTATCCGCATTTATTACAATATTGATGTTTAGTCTTAGTAATTCATCAGTTTAGAAGAGGTCGACATTTTATTGTTGCAGATTTGTTTTTCTTATCTCTGAACGGTTTGTTCTGGGGTCTTAGTTTTATTGGTTTAGTCTCATTAACTCTTCCTAAGTTGTATTTTATTTATTTATTAAAAAAAATTTTTTTAATGTTTATTCTTGAGAGAGAGAGAGAGACAGAGTGCGAGTGGGGTAAGATCAGAGAGAGAAGGAGACACAGAATCCGAAGCAGGTTCCAGGCTCTGAGCTGTCAGCATAGAGTCTGACGCAGGGCTGGAACTCATAAGACATTAGATCATGATGTGAGTTGAAGTCAGACACCTAACCGACTGAACCAACCAGGTGCCCCTTGCTGAGTTGTATTTTAATACTTCAAAGTATAAAATGTTTACTGACGCAATTGATAAATCCTTTTATGCAGGTCATGGCATGGTTTAGGAAAAATGAACATAGTTTGTGGATTATCATAAGGGACGATGACTGGAGTGAAAATAGGACGGGCAACTTTGAATCTGACAGGGTAAATTGGATCTGTCCAATGGAAGGTGGATAGTAAAGGGGGAAGCAAAACAATGGTATGTGGAAAATGTGAAGATGACAGGAAAAGTTCTGTTATAACAGTAATTACTGTAAATATGTCTTCAATTCTTGCTCAAAATACAGTTTTCTCAGTTTGGTTTAACAAAAATAAGCAAGATCCATCAGTGTTAGTCTACAAGAGACTTAGATAAACCAAAAAGATAAATGCAGGTTGAAATGGAAAAAAAGAAAAGAAAAGATGTGCTAAACAATTAGAAACTAAAAATGCCAGGGTGGCAATTTGTCTATCATACCAAATAGAATCGAAGGCAAAAAAAGACCTTAAGTTTCAAGGGAGGTGTTATTTGCTGTCACAAGGAACAATGGACCAGGAAGACGTGAGCTTACATGCAATTGACAAAATAGCCTCAAAGTGGATAAAGTCATAACTGATCACCCGGGGCTCGATCTGAGAGAGAGTACCATAGATGGGGAGTGCAGCCAGCGTTCACTGTATGGATTAAGCCTTAAATAATTGTGGGAGCTCGCAGAGAAGTCTGAACAGATGTCAGCAAGTCTGTTTGATGTTTGTCTGTTGACAGCTCTCAACTCTCACATCCTCTTTCCACGTCTGCCCCACGCAGGCTGATGAAAGCCTGCCCCTCCCTCCGCGCTGACCTGAAGTTGAAACCACGCAAGCCCCGGCACACCCGCTAACCCCAGTAAAAGCAGGGCCACTCAGTCCTATCCCCTCTCAGCCTCAAGAGCCACTTCCTCCCAGCTGGGGCACTGCCCTCCTCTCCCCAAAAAGTGTGTTCACACACTCTTGGTGCAGGCGTGGCATCTTCAGCCTCCACCTCTGACGGTAGCTAGGGTGGGGTCCGTCCCCACTCTGCAGGGGGACACAACAGCAAGGCTGTAACCTTGGCCTGAGTATTAAGCCTGGGGTTGTTGTGGTTCACCCCTGCCAGCTGTGGGGAAGGGGAGCTGAGCAAGCAATGAAGAGCGGAGAGACGCTGGAACCTACAAAGACAAACTGGAACCCCCGTCTGTCTTCCACTCCTCCCAGCCCTGTAGTGTAGCCGCCCCTATTGCTGCCGAGTTGCACACTCCTGACCTGGGCCCCCCAAGAAGCGGAGGATATGCAGCCGAAGGCGGGGGTTGCCGGGGTCCTGCCCTGCGTCTGCGGGTTGAGCCGTCAGATCCTCAGCTTGCATGAGCTGAGTAGAACTTCTGGCAGCTTCAGAGCACGAAGAAATGGTTGCTGCTTCTCTTTGGCCTTCCAGATCTCACGCGGAAGTTTCTTGGGGCCAGTCCCAAGCTGGAGGCACACATGGAAGGGACTTCTAGGACAGTTCCCACTCAGCTGAGTTGATGTGGTACAAGGGCCGCCTCCCATTCTGGGGAAGACCAGGCGGCCCCACTGTTATAGCTGGAGCACTTCCCACGCCGCTCCGAGAGACTGGAGATGAAGGAGACAGGAAGACACAAGATTCGAAGGACATGATGAATGGGAACTAATAGCAATCCATAGCTTTACACCCAAAGGGAAAACAAGATCTTTGGTGTACGTGGAACATTTACAACAACTGACCACATCCTGTGTCCCAAAAGAAGTAAGAAGTCCTAGCGATCTGTGCTCTGACCACAATGCAGTGATGCTGGGAGTCACAGATAAAAAGGAGAGCTGAAATCATCCCACACACATGAGAACTAAATGCATACAATAAACAACCATTAGGTTCAAGAGGAAATTGTAAAGAAAAACATCCAATACTTCGAACTGATGGACAGTGAGAACACGACACATCAAAGTGTGTGGAACACTGCTGAATTAGTGCTTGAAGGGAAATTGATAGCGTTAAGTACATTTCCGAGAAAACAAAGACTAGAATTAAATGGAATAGGACTTCAACTCAATAGAAGGAAAAGGAGCAACAAAGCAAATGTAGGGATATGTGGAAGAAGGAAATAGTAAAGATAAAAGGACAAGTTAGCGATACAGAGACTGACAACCACCACAGAAAATAAAAGGGAAGATTAACAAAAGTAAACGCTCATCCTTAGAGGAATAGAGATATTTCCGCCAAGATTGATTTAAAAAAAGAAGATGCATATACAAATATGGAATGATAAAAAGGAAAATAACTATTAATAGCAGTAATGCAGTTTTTGAAAATTAGTGACATTATGATAGTTTAGACAAAGTGGATAAAAATCTAGATAAGCAGGAAAATACCAAATTGAGGCAAGAAAAGTGGAGAACTTGAATAAACATCGAAGAAATTAAAACAACTTACAAAGATCACTTCTTCAAAAAAGCCCCAGGTCCAGGTGGTTTTATAGGTGCATTTTGCCAAATGTTCAAAGGACAGACAGTCCCCATACTAGATGAGTTTTTATAGGATATAATAGAGAAGCTGCTCACCTTGCCGGCAAAACTGATAATGATAGTGCATGGGGGAGAAAGGCCATTTGATATATGACCATGTGAGCATCCTAACTAAGGTAATAGCTACCTGAACCTAACAGTAGTAGACAACAGTGCATTGTGGATGCAGCGTGTTTATTCCAGAATGCAAGTATATTCTTAACATCCAAATCTCCCATCACTGTAAGTTTTATGAAAAATTATGTTAATTCATTTGTCAGCTTCTTACTGAATGCCTCTCATGCTAGTTGCTGTTCTAGTAAACTGTGCAAGGGCACCGTGGAGCCCTCTGCTCTGTGGATTAGGCCAATACCTCATGGACTGACTTGGGGCTGGCCCCAGGCTGAGTTCGGCAGCACAAAACCTAAGCATGTAGAACATATGACCACATATTTTACAAAGACTCAAGTTCATAGGGAGCGGGGAACAGGAGTTTAGGGATGGGGAGGTGCAGGGAGAACAGTTGAATTCTCTAAAAATTTTTATTTTCAATGTTTACTTATTTTTGAGACACAGAGAGAGAGTGAATGGAGAAGAGGCAGAGAGAGAGGGAAACGGAGAGACGCAGGCTCCAGGCTCTGAGCTGTCAGCACAGTGAGAAGAATTGAATTCATGGAAATAGAATGGCTGCGTCAAAGGATATTTAAGTTTATAAGGCATTTAATCCATGTTGCCCTGTGAGCCATGAGAAAGGCAGTGCTTTAGCTCTGTCGTTTCCAAGCCGTTAAAATGTTTCGCATAGTGAAATAAATCAGAAATTGTTATGCAGAGAGGCTTAGGAACTTCTCTTCATCCCGTTTTTGTGTTTGAGATGTCAAAAAGCCGTGAAACACTGTGAAAATACTTAGTATAATGTCTGTGTGATCTCTTATTTTAATAGATATCAATTGAAATTGAAACTCCTACCCAGATATCGTTAGTCGATGAAGCATCAGGCGAGGTAAGTATATATTAAATACAATTAAAAAGAATTATTATTGAGTGCTAAAATGATTATCTTCTGTGATTTTGAATGTTCATTTAACTATAAATAAAAATTACAGCAATTGAATGAGTTTGTAGGGGGAAAAATTTGTGATCTTTTTATCTTCTCCATCCGAAGGTTTGGACACGACTTGTTTCTGATTTGTTCCTTTCTAGTAGTACCTGCTAATGGTGAAGACTCCAGCTGTTGATATTTCTACATGATGTCATGGTCACGTTTATTAAGTTGATCATAATATTCAGGATATAAAATAGTGCTTAATGCTTTTGTAGCAAATTTATGTATAGTTTGATTTTTTTTTTTTGACTCATTTTGTTATTTAAGAAAGAGACCCTGTCCAGGTGGATCTAATGTATTTTTTTGTCCTTAAATTTAGAAGCAGGTACTTTTGTGTTGTGAATGTATTGTTTTAATAATAAGCAGGACTGCGGATGTACTGTTTATTTATTTATTGACATGCATGTGGGGGAGGCAGAGAGAGAGACAGAATCCCAAGCAGGCACGCACTCTGTTACCGAGCCCAACGCGGTACTCAGTCCCACAGACTACAAGATCATGACCTGAGCTGAAATCAAGAGTCAACGCTTTGGGGCGCCTGGGTGGCTCAGTTGGTTAAGCATTTGACTCTTGGTTTCAGCTCAGGTCATGGTCTCTAGATTCATGGGTTCAAGCCCTGCATTGGGCTCTGTGCTGAAAATGTGGAGCCTGCTTGGGATTCTCTCTCTGCCTCTCTCTTTCTACCCTGCCCCACTTGCTCTCTGTCTCTCTCTCAAAAAATAAATAAACATTAAAACAATTCAAAAAAAAAAAGAGTCAGCACTTAACTGACTGGGCCACCCAGACACCACACTTTTATTTATTTATTTTGTACTTCAAATTATTCCTGGGGCTGGGAGGTATTTTCCTCTTTTGTGACAACTCCAATTAATATTCATTCCATGGTCTGGGTATAACTGCTTTGTTCACACGGGGAACTCTATAGGGTGTCTATTGTGTGACTACCACCAGGCAGGGGCTGACTTTTCACATTTCCTCTCTGGAGGAGATGGGGCCTGGAAAGTAGTACTCATTGAATTGTTGCCCGAGGGACGACTCTGTGAGACTTAGAAGTCACCAAGATTTGTTTCCTTTCTCGGGCTGAAAGGAGGGAAGAAGGAAAGCCTGAAGGTTCCTAACAACTCGGTTGACTGACACTTTTCCAAGACTCCTCTAATTGCCTCACTGCCTCGCCACTCCTGTGGGTGAGAGGCTTTCTCAAAACTGGGCACGGGACAGCTCTTGTTGACCAGTCTCGCCGTCCCACCCTGGTCTTCTTGTGCGCTGTGGCTTTGCGTATTGTGTCTCCAGCACTCAGCACAGGACCGTGCTTTAAAGGGGCCACCAGAGCGAATGATGGTAGACTTCTGATAGCGAGCTGGTGTGTCCAGAGCTCTGCCCAAATAGGACAGTACACTGGACAGTGGTGACCGGGGGCCAGGCTATATCAGGTGTTTTCTATTTCCTTTTTTTTTTTTTAGTTTAGTAATAGCTTTATTGAGATGTAATATACCATACAATTTATTGAGATATCATATACCATCCGATTCACTGGCTTTTTTTTTTTTTTTAACGTTTATTTATTTTTGAGACAGAGAGAGACAGAGCATGAAACGGGAGGTCAGAGAGGGAGCATACAGAATCGAAACAGGCCCCAGGCTCGACTGTCCTTTGGGAAGAAACCCAGCACAGGAGTTCACGGGGCTCGAACCCACGGACTGTGAGATCAAGACCTGAGCTGAAGTCAGCCGCTTAACCGACTGAGCCACCCAGGCGCCCCTCACTGGCTTTTTTTAAAAGAAGATAGAAGTTCATTACTTTTTTTTGTTTAAGTTTATTTATTTTGAGAGAGATAGCGAGTGGGGGAGGGGCAGAGAGGGAGGAAGAGAGAGAATCCCAAGCGGGCACCACACTATCAGCACAGAGCCGGATGCTGGGCTTGATCCCACAAACCATGAGATCATGATCGAAGCCAAAATCAAGAGTCAGACCCCTAACCGACTGAGCCACCCAGGCGCCCCTGTCACTGGCTTTCAGTGTATTCACAGAGTTGTGTATTCATCACCCCAATCAGTTTTAGAAAGGAATCCCTGTCCCCATTAGCAGTCATTTCCCATTTCTCCCTCCCCCAGCCCATGGCAACCCTTACTCTCCATCTGTTGGATTTGCCTAATCTGAACATTTCATATGAGGGAATCGTACAACATGTGGTCTTGTGGTCTCGTGTGACTCACGCCTTTCACTTTGCATGATGGTTTCAGGGTTGACCCATGTTGTGGTATGTATCAGTATTTCGTCTCTTTTTGTGGTCAGATAAGACTCCACTGTGTGGATAGGCCACATTTGGTTTATTTACTCATCGGTTGATCAATATTCAGGCTCTTACTAGTCTTTGGCCAGTATGGATAGTACTGCTGTGAACATTTGTGGGTTTTCATGTGGGTGTAAGTTTTCATTTCTCTCGTGTGTGTACTTGAGAGTGGAATTCCTGGGTCATCCAATCACTGTATGTTTAACTGTCACTTTGTGGGCATCGATTCCCCTTGTGTCCAGGATTTGGTGCATGAGGAAATCAGAAAAGGCATACCACGTTCTTGAGAACTACTTGAATATATTCTGTTAAGGAGGGCTTTTTTAGGCTGGGTCCTAACACTAACTTCTGTTATTATTATTTTTTCTTTATTTTCTTTTTAGAAGGAAGAGATTGTTGTGACTCTCTTACCAGCTGGTCATTGTCCAGGATCAGTTATGTAAGGGGGCTCATCTACTTCACCATTTTATTTTACGTAGATGTGTGTTGTATTTATGTAAATGAATCTTTAGGGTCCAGAAAATAGTATGTGCAGGGAGATTTCTTGACTTCTTTAAAATGTAGATGGCAATTTCTTTAGTCTTCGTTTCTAAATTGAACTTGGGGGACTGAAGCAAAGATCGAGTTTGAAATGTGGCTTCTTATAATGGAAGTCTTCAATGGCCATTTCTCCGTTGACTTTGCATTTTCCTATCACATGGATTTTTCTCTCTGTGTGCAGGAAAGATCTCCTGTAGTTGAGAGGGCTAACATATTTCGGGGATTTCTATTGCCACTGCAGTAGTATTCCAGTATGTGCTTTTTTCCTACCCCAGGGGAAAGGTGGCCGCTGAGTGCCTGGTGTGGTTTAGAGCTACTGACATCCCATTAACCCTGTATCGGAGGTGGCTATGTGTGGCAGGAAACATTTGCTATGGATTTAGTGTTTATTTGCTTTATTAGGATTCTGTATGAGACTTAGAAGTCACCAGGATGTATTTCTTTCTCAGGTTTTTATTTCAGGGCAATAACGGAACGGTCTTGTACACGGGAGATTTCCGATTGGCACAGGGGGAAGCTGCCAGAATGGAGCTCCTGCATTCTGGGGGCAGGTACTGGGCTTCACGTAATCCTTGAATGACCGAACCATCTGCAAAGTCATATTCCTCCTCCCCCCGCCCCCCAAATGCAAGCCTTTGTTTCCATTAGAAATCACAGTTTATTATGTGTCACAGTAAAGCAAGTTTTTCTTCTTCGGGTGGGATGATGGCAACATTCTGTGTGTTGATTGGGGTAGTACTTATGTGAACTTGTCAACATTCATTGAACCTTATGTATAAAATCTGTGTATTTTATTGTGTGGCAATCATTTCCCAACACAGTTGATTTAACAGAAAAATTCCAAGTGGAATGGGACACCCTATAAAATAACTGAGAGTTTAAAGTTTACGTATATTTTATTTCACAGTGGATGGTTAATACGAATTGTTGCTGTTGCTGTTTTTCCAGAGTGAAAGACATCCAAAGTGTATACCTAGATACTACTTTCTGCGATCCGAAATTTTACCAAATTCCTAGTCGAGTAAGTCTCCTTGGAGAAGTAGGGTGGTGACTGGACCGTGGCCATTATTTTTAGTAGGAAGTTTGTAGAATAACAAGTCAGATCATAATTGTCCCCGTTGGCCTTAATATCTGTGACTGTTGGGAATGGAAGGGGTGACGATGCTCTTAAAAGTGTCCAATGCCTTTTAAAATCCCGCCCAGGAGGAGTGTCTGAGCGGAATATTAGAGCTGGTTCGCAGCTGGATCACTCGGAGTCCGTACCATGTCGTGTGGCTGAACTGCAAAGCAGCTTACGGGTATGAGTATCTGTTCACCCATCTGAGCGAGGAATTTGGAATCCAGGTACGGTGACAGCTCTTCCTTTTCTGTTGTTCCTTCCAGCCTCTCCTCTCCTCCCCCAGAGACCAAGCCCAGTAGCAGAGGGAAGCAGCCCGTCACAGGGCGTGTGTGGCGCAAGTTGGAAGCCCCTGTGAAGTAGGATGTCATCTCTGTTTGTCCACCTCCTCAGGGGAGGAGCCCACGGCAGCCCTGGTGGCAGAGAAGAGCCCACAGAGGAAGTATTTTTTTTCAAAACTGTGGGTCACACAATAAATTTCGTGATTGTGACGAGCATTGAAAATAACTTGGGGAGCACCTGGGTGGCTCAGTCGCTTAAGTGTCCAACTTTGGCTTAGGTCGTGATTGTAGTTCGTGGGTTTGAGCTCCACATCAGGCTCTGTGCTGACAGCTCAGAGCCTGGAGCCTGCTTCTAATTCTGTCCCCCTCTTTCTCTGCCCCTCCCCCGCTCTCACTCTCTCTCTCTCTCTCTCAAAAATAAATAAACATTAAAAAAAAAAAAGAAAGAATCTCGAACTAGAAATTATCTGAGTGTATTGCTTGCAGTCAGAGTGATTATCGTTTTGTGACAGTTTATGTAGGGAATCAGACACATGCATTTACATGCATTTACATGCATGTCTGTTGTGTGTACTGGGAAATCTATTTCTTACTGAAGGTCATGGTCAAGGTGTGTGAAAACCACTGTCCTAGAGCCCCGAATCTTGTGGGTGGATCCGTGTCAGATGAGGCTGGCGGGGAGTTTTCACCTGTCCCCTTGCCCATGGTTCTGTGTGCCGGGCTCTGGAACTGAGCAACAGAGCCCGGCGTGGGAATGTGGCTGCTAAGCACGTGGCTGGTGCTCTTGTCCCCTCAGAGAAGATGGAGGTTTGGGAAAGACTCTGAATAAAACAAAGTGCTGGAGCTAGTTGGACTTTTTTTTTTTTGTTTACTTATTTATTTTGAAAGAGAAGAAAGAGAGAGCACAAGCAGGGGTCGGGGGGGGCAGAGGGGGACAGAGGATCCCAAGCAGGCTCCACACTGTCAGCTCAGAGCCCAGTGCGGGGCTCGAACTCACAAACCATGAGATCATGACCTGAGCCGAAGTCATTTGCTTAACGGACTGAGCCACCCAGGCGCCCTGGCTAGTTGGACACTGAAGTTCCACTTCGGTTTGGGCCTCGTAACATGGATCCCCCAGCTGACAAACGTGTGCCCGGAACTGAATTATACACAGAGTAATTCAGTAAAATAAAAAAGATCTAGCTTTTCTGCATTTGAGATTTAAAACATTCCTCCCTCACTTCCTCTATAAGTCTTGACTCCCTTAGTCCTTCTTTCCTTAATTTTGTCCTTCCTTAGGTCTTTCTGTCCAAATACATTGGTGTAAAGTTGCCAATTCTCCATTTTGGGAAGGATTTGCTTTCATTCTGAGATTGTCCTTCCTGTTGTTTTGGTGTTAAAGTGTCCTTTCAGATTAATGTTTATTTTTGAGGTGGGGGAGGGGCAGAGAGAGGGAAACACAGAATCCGAAGCAGGCTCCAGATTCCAAGCTGTCAGCACAGAGCCCGACGCAGGGCTCAAACTCACAAACCGTGAGATCATGACCTGAGCTGAAGTCTGACCCTTAACTGACTGAGCCACCCAGGCTTCCTGGCTTTTTAAATTAAAATCACAGCGATAACAGGTTGTGTGTATATGCACGCACTTATCTATATTATCTGCCGTATGTCTCCTCGTGTCCTGTCTCGGCCAAATACAGAGATGGCAGCTGCTTCTCAGTCCCTAATTTGTCTCGTACATTTTTGTGCATGTGAAATAGAGAAGGCAGGAAGCTCCTGGTCAGGAGGCTGAGGAGTGGCCAGGGACGGGGGAGAGCAGCCTCTGGTGGTGACCTGGTGACCTCAGAGTCACCTGGAGTGAGCCCTCTCTGAGGCTCTTTAATCCCTCTGTAGGGGAAGGAAACAGTTTCATACCAGGAGTTTAAAAAGGGGCAACAGGGAGGCTTCAGAAATGATCTGTGGCAACTTTTCAGGCCCCTTTATTTTTGTTGAGGATCGAAGTTTCTGTATCTCTGTCTATACATCTCAAAATTTACCCCTTTTAGTCTCCTACTTAGAGAGTCCAGAAAAGCAAATTTGTTGTAACTTCTTGTTAGTCATTAGTAAACGGGGAGGGAGCGGAATAGGCCACAGGATAAGTAAGCAATTGTGCTTGGATTCTTTTTATACTTGTCTTGGTATAAATTACCCACAGTGATTTGACATTATCCTAATCTGTTGTTAATCAGACTTCAAAATGAGTACTTTTTTTTGCCATTTTGTAGTCCTAATATCAACTGAGGTACATGTTACTTACTTTGAAGAAGAGAATTTTTTTAATGTTTATTTATTTTGAGAGAGTTTGGGGGAAGAAAAGAGAGGGAGAGAGAGAATCCCAAGCAGGCTCTGCACTTTCGGCATTCAGAACCTGAGGCAGGGCTCGAACTCGTAAACTGAGATTATGACCTGAGCCGAAATCCAGAGTCGGCTTAACCGACTGAGCCACCCAGGCCCATGTGTAGAAGAGAGTCTCACGAAAAACAGACACACTGGTTTAACAATTTAAAACAATAAAACTACCTTAAAATTCTACAGGTGGCTCAAGTTTTTTTTTTGTTTTTCTGCATCTGCCCCTCCCCCTGTTAATCCAGTAAAGGGGCGTGTGGTAAGGGGCTTCTGGGTCTCTGCTTCCCACTCCAGCTGTGTTCCCCCCACCAACTGCCCTTACTTACCATGGCATGCGGGGGATGTGTCTTCACAAGTCAGTGATTCTTGTTTTCATCTGCTGTGTTCAGCTATATACCTGATATTTAGAATTAAGCTTGACACATAGTAGGCGTACAATAAATATTATTTGAATGACTCTTGATGGATTGAAGGACAGTAGAGTTGACCTTGAACAACACAAGTTTGCACTGCACAGGTCCATTGATGCGTGGGTTTTCTTTGGTAAATACAGTATTGTATCCCAAACAGTAATGTATGGTGACAGATGGTAACTACACTTGTAGTGAACATAGTATAATGTATAGACTCACAGAGTTGTCTAAGCACTTACACTGTACGCCAGAAACTAATGTAACGTTGTGTGTCAACTATACTTCGATAGAAAAATACAGTGCGGTACTCTAAGTGTATTTTCTCTTTCTTACAATTTTCTGAATAACGTTTTCTTTTCTCTAGCTTGCTTTATTGTAAGAGTATGGTATGTGATACATATACGAAATATGTGCTAATGGACAGTTTATGTTACTGGTAAGGCTTCTGCTCAACATCAGCTGTTAGTAGTTAAGTTTTTGGGGAGTAGAAAGGTATGTGGATTTTTGACTGTGGGGGCTGGCGCCCTGACCCGTGTCGTTCGGGGTCAGTTGCATCAGCGTGATTCAATGAAGTCCACCAATTGGGCGTCCAGAATTTTTTATTACCACCACCAATAGGCGCTAAGGCTGACTGGTGCAAATATGATGTTTGTACTTTGTTGACGTCCTGACAGGATGCCAGGGTGCACTGAAATAACCAAAAACTAGGTTTCAAGAAAGAAGAGAGAGTTCACTAAGTGGATAATTTGCCGTAATTAGCCTTGAACAACCTCTTTATAGAAACTACAACTCAAACAACATGTTCATCTGTGTTATTTTCCTCAGGTTCATGTGGACAAATTAGACATGTTTAGGAACATGCCCGACATTCTTCATCACCTCACAACAGACCGGAATACTCAGATCCATGCCTGTCGCCATCCGAAGGTACAGAGTATAAACTGTGTTTCTTATTGTTGGTGTGATGCATGAAAAGCAGAATTTTAGGTCCAGAAGGCACCCCTGAAATCCCATTTTCTAGGCCCTTCAGTTTACACATGTGAAAACTGAGGCAGAGACCCGACGGCGTTAGCCTGAGGCCGTGCACTGAGGCATTCCAGTGCTCCTTGCCGTGAACCACGTTAGCAAATAGACACAGACCCCCAGCGTTCTTTTTTTTTTTTTTTTAATCATGTTTATTTATTTTTGAGAGAGAGAGAGAGAGAGAGAGAGACAGAGCGGGAGCAGGAGAGGGGCAGACAGAGAGGGAGACACAGAATCTGAAGCAGGCTCCAGGCTCTGAGCTGTCAGCACAGAGCCTGATGCGGGGCTCAAACTCACAAACCATGAGATCATGACCTGAGCTGAAGTCGGACGCTTAACCAACTAAGCCACCTGGGCGCCCCCAGACCCCCAGGGTTCTTAATGAAATATATCCATATACATTTGATACATATTTATTTGTAATGAGTTATGTAGTGACTAATGTATTTATCATGAAATTAATATGTTAGTGCTTATGATTTAAGAAAACATTTATAATCCATTACGATATATGTTTGAGACTCATGACCTATGTGCACATTTGTAAACTACTTTTCTTCTACTCATTTGAGATAAATAGCTAGATATAACTTTGCTTCAGATTTTGAAATAGTTTTATCTCTTACTAGTCCAATTTCAAATGAGCATTTCTAGGTCTTTGCAACTCATTTGTTATTTATTTTTGTTATTTTTTAAATTTTTTTATTTTTTAAAATTTACATCCAAATTAGCATATAGTGCAACAATGATTTCAGGAGTAGATTCCTTAGTGCTCCTTAACCATTTAGCCCATCCCCCCTCCCACAATCCCTCCCGTAACCCTCAGTTTGTTCTCCATATTTATGAGTCTCTTCTGTTTTGTCCCCCTCCATGTTTTTATATTATTTTTCTTTCCTTTCCCTTATGTTCATCTGTTTTGTCTCATAAAGTCCTCATATGAGTGAAGTCATATGATTTTTATCTGTCTCTGACTAA